GGTTAGGGCCCAAACGGTTTAGGGTTCTTTCGAAAAAACACACACGGCATCATGAGCATGTGGAGGGCCATACTGCCCCCACAAGTCGGAATGGTAACGTCATTTGCAAAACATCCCGGAGCCAATTTTGCTGCTCAGGCTTAGTGTTCCCCGTAGAGGCTGAAAGAGCCGAAACGCGTCGGATATCATCTCATCGCTATTGCCTGCTGCAAAATCGTGCTTCGGTTGTGCCGGGCTTGATACCTTCAACGCGAGTCAAGTGAAGCTTCTTTGATTCAGGGTATCGCCCTTGGACACATGGAACCTTCTTTTCGGAATCCACCTGGCCTCACCGCGATTGGGCAAGGACAATCTACACGAGGGCGAAGCCGGGAGAGGACACCGCTTCCAACTTTCCCAGTACACTCCCACAGTGTGGAGTTCCACGGAGCCCCACGTCCTACAAACATGCCGCAGCAAGAGAACGCCTTCATGCAGCTCATGGCGCAACAGGTTCAGTTGTTGAAAGAGCAGACAGTCCTTCTACAGCAAAACAAGTCACGCCAGGAGATTGATTTCCAGCAGTACAAACAATCACATGATGTGCTTAAAGATGTTGCTCCATCGCTCAGGCCGGTCCTGTTGCATTGGCAGAAACAGTTCCGCAAGGATGTGGAACATTGGGCAACACAGTGTGATTTGACAGACAAGTATTCGCATCTCGCACAGAGCAGCGAACTCATGAAGCCTTTTCGAGAAGAGTCGCGACGAAAATGGCAGTTCCCTCAAGCCTATCTTGCGGAGGCACAGCACATTACCGACATCGACCCAAGTCTTCCCATGGGCGAGATCTACAACATCCAGGAATCATGGGCCAGACTACGGTTGAAACACGCACAGGAATGCCAAGCTTTCGTAGTTGCTCATCAACAAAAAGCCAAGGAATTGCTGGAGAACAAGATTTCTACACGCACAGCTCTACAAGCCGCCACCGATCAGTGGAATGCGTGGGCGTTGCAAAATACGCACCTTTCAACTCCCGCCAGACATTCCTCGGAGGTTATGGCGAAACATTTCGCAGAGATGTGCATTCGCGAAGAAATCCCCAAAGCCAAAGGACGACTTGTAGCAGCAGAGGAATCACGCAAGAAGAAGCATGAGGCAATCTTGAACGCGGAGGCCAAGTACCAGTCCATGGATCCACAGCAGCTGTTTGCTTTGCTGGAACTCGACCGGCATGCAAAGGTGTCTGTTCACAGAGATGGCACATCAAGCAAAAGCGTAACCATATCCAAGTACAGCGAGCTCGCCGCGCTTGTCAAGAAACTTCCATCCCTTGCCGACATGTATCACATCAAGTACTCCGAACGTCCGTCGAGCAGACCTCGGACCAGATCGCAACAGTCCACTTCTTCCCGAAGCAGTGCCACGTCATCACATCGAGCCCGGAGGTCTACAAAAATCGCCAAGCGCGTCAAGACCCCCAAGCCCGCCGCACACACATCGCGCAGCACCTCACGATCTTCTTCGAAGAAATCCTCGAAAGGAGCAGTGAAAGGTAAAGGTGGCAAAGGGAGGAATAAGCACAAAGGCAAAGGTAAAGGACATGACAGCTAAAAGGGCAAAGGGAAAGGAAAACCGTCTAAGACAGTCTCTTTCCAGACCCGTCACTGACTTGGTGCCACTTCGACGCGGACCCATGTACAGCATTCACGTTGTCGATGTTACTGGAACCCGGATGACACAATCAACTTCCAGAAGTACAGCTTCAGTCGTGCTTCGAGATCTTCTTTTGTACAGATCGCATCGCGCATCACGGGTACCAATGTTCACAACTTTCTACCGAATCACCTCCAAGTTCCCGAGTATGTCTTAGTGTACTTGAATAAGGTCGCAAAGTTCGTGGCCGACATGCACAGATCTTCTGTCACGGACGTGCTACACAGTTTCACCGAGCTTGAGCGGAAGCTACACATCGCCAGATGGTTTCGAGATGCTCCACCTAAAGTACCAAGCTTGTTTTCCAAACATTTGCCACGCTCCAGCTGGATGCCAAGACCTCACCCAGAAATTCAATCATTCTGTCGCTTAGTTCGAAAGGAGCTCGTCGAGAAGTACCATCCCAAGGTGTCACAGCCGAATATTACATGGCTCGATCGTCAGGCGATGTCCTGGCTCCGATCAAATCGTTCTCGTATCATGGTTGTCGATGCCGACAAGAACCTTGGGGATGTTCTTATCGAACGCAGCTGGATACACACCGAGCTTAACAGGTTGTTGACCGAAGGCTTCACACGACTTCCGCAGAATGATGCACACCGACAGTTACAGAATGCTAGGACAGATCTTGAGGGTTTGATCTGTTACGCACTACGCCGAGGTTTTGTGAATCAGCGGGAAGCTGACTTTTTACTTAGCGGAGCTACAAACATGAAACCTGGCACTTTCAGACTGCGCTTGAAAATACACAAGGTACCGATGAAGGGCCGTCCTATCGCAAACATGTCACACAGCTGGTTGGCACCTGCAGGTCTTTTCCTATGTCAGCATCTTCTACCACTTCAACAGAAACTCCAGTTCGCCGTGAGCAGCAGCTTCCAGTTTTTACAGCGCATGCCCGTGGTGGTCGACAAAGACTACGAAATAGCCACAATTGACATACAAAATCTGTACCCAAGCATCGACACCGAAGACCTTATTTCTTCGATCACGGCTCTGCTACACGACTTCTATTCGGACAAGCCGTTGTTCGCACAAGTTCTCTGCAATCTTCTTACTTTGGTACTCCGGAATCAGCTCGTACTGCACAGGGGTGAGTTCTTTGCCGCGTTTGGGATTGCGACTGGACTCTCACCCGGTGTTTTCCTTGCGAACTTATATCTGGATGCACTTGACAAGGAGGTTGCCGACACACATGTGGATCATTTGGCCTTCTATGCGAGGCTCGTTGACGACAGTTTGGTGTGCAGTTCCAACATTGATGGGATTTTGAACACACTGAACTCTTGGAAACCAGGAATCGACTGGATCATCAGTTCGAGGGGTGGGCGCTCACACATAGGTGAGGATGAAGTCCCATTCCTTGACGTTCAGTTGTCTCATTCAGATGGTCGCATGGCTTGGCGTACATACCGAAAACCTTTGAACAGTTATCTTTATCTTCTTCGTGCAAGTGCGCACCCGAAGAACGTGTTCGCTGCACTCATCGCCGGAGAAACTCACAGACTTTGGCGCTCCAACCAATCCAGAGTCAATCTGATGCGTGAGCTTGGTTTCTTTGTGGAAAAGCTGGCAAAGAGAGGATACGTGAGACACCTGTCATGGAATGTGATTAGGGATACTCTACGCAAGTGTGAACGTCACCGCGCGTGTAGTTCCACAAGAAAGTCGTCCCGCAAACACTTCTATCAAGTTGCTACATACAGTACCTCTTTCAACAAAGGAGTGCTCAAACGAGCTTTCCAGAAGTACAGTGCAGTTCTAAATGCAGCTTTTGGCTACCGCTTACCGCTCGGAGTTGCATACAAAGTGCAGCCCAACCAATTCCGAAGACACTTTGCCGACAACTGGCATTGAAATGTACACTAGCTGTTCCAGTTTACACGGACAGGGAGGGTGGAGAGGGTCCGTGTTTTTTCGAAAAAACACACACGGCATCATGAGCATGTGGAGGGCCATACTGCCCCCACAAGTCGGAATGGTAACGTCATTTGCAAAACATCCCGGAGCCAATTTTGCTGCTCAGGCTTAGTGTTCCCCGTAGAGGCTGAAAGAGCCGAAACGCGTCGGATATCATCTCATCGCTATTGCCTGCTGCAAAATCGTGCTTCGGTTGTGCCGGGCTTGATACCTTCAACGCGAGTCAAGGACTCTCCCCTTAGCTCCTGAACAGTATCCCGAACCCCAAAGCCCCAGCAGCGCCCCAGCCCTTTCAAAGCCTGGGATTAGGGTTTAGGGTTTAAGGGGGTTTATAGGGTTTAGGGTTAGAGAAATCAAGTAAGAAGCTCTTCTAGTGATTGGGAGCTTCAAATTAATCTTCCACCCAGCTTGAACTTAGTTTCGCTCGTTGAAACGCCTAGGAAAGCCTTAGGATTCTAAAGTCTCAAGCTCTTCCAGTTCCGCTGCCAATTTGTTGGAAGCCTGAGGCCTCAAAGGGTCCTAAGTACCTATGTTATATAGTAGAATGTAGTGTTTCTATGTCAGGAATAAAATATCATGATTTTGGGGAAGTATCCCCCGTGTACAAGTACCTAGGACCCTTTGGGTTAGGGCCCAAACGGTTTAGGGTTGATCCTAAACCCTATAAACCCTACAAACCCTATAAACTCTATAAGCCTTATAAGCCCTCTACCCATAGGCCCCTAAGTAGTTCCTGTCTATGGTTTGCATTTAGAATCCTACGAGGTAATCCCAAAAGGAACTACTTAGGGGCCCTCTAAACCCTATAGACTCTATAAACCTTATACACCCTCTAAACCCTCTAAACCCTCTAAACCCTCTAAACCCCATAAGCCCTAAACCCAGGGTTTAGGCCCCAACCCTTGAAGATGAATCTCTGCGGCCTGAGCCGTCAAAGGTCCCGGCGAGGTGCTGAGGAGTCTGAAGGTTCCCTAACCCTCCGGGTACCTACTATATACCTTAACCCACCAAAACCTACTTTTTTGTAGGTTCTTTTTACAAACCCTAATATGGAATTTATAGGGACCCTACAAAAAAAGTAGGTTTTGGTAGGTTAAGGTAGGGTACTAGAGCTTTTAGGGGTTTTGGTGAAGTGGACATCGAGATTCATTGTCATCCCAAGGGCCCTTTTTTTTGTAGGTACCTGGAGGGTTAGGGGTTGCGGTACCTTCCTGTTACCGTGGAAGCCTGAGTGATTATATGAGTGAAATGAGCAATAGTGTTCCGTAGGGCTCCTTACTACCCCGGTTTCAGTAGAAATATACCCAAAGCCGCCCAAACTGTTTCGCGGGGAATGCGGCACTGAGGGCTTCAACAGTTTAAGATTGAGCTCGAGTTCAGGAGTGTGGAGTTTAGGGTAACCCTAAACTCTAAACGACTCTAAACCGTGGCTCTGTTTACATGTTCGAGAGATTCTGCTCTCAAAGATCTTGCATCTTCATGCGTTGGCCTGCATTTCTTTACAGGAGAACCGCTAACACTGCAAATTCCACTGCACCAAAGTACAGCGAAAGCCGACAACCTCAAAGCCTCAACCTCATTTTAAACCTAAGGTTTAGGGCTTAGGGTTTAGGGCCCCTCAAATCTCCGCAAGGGGCCATATGCCCACGTAGTATAAACTTATCGACCCTAATGCGCCACTGCACGGACTTTAGGGTCAAAGTACGTACCGGTACATGGACCCTTGGGGCTCTGAATCTCAGCTCTGGAGGTTTCTAGATCCTCAAAGGGTCCTAGGTATTGTCATGGGGGATACTTTCCCAGATGATGATATTGATTCCTACTATAGAAACACTACATTCTACTATATAACATAGGTACTTAGGACCCCTTTTGGGCATCTTCAGCCCAAACCCGAAACGCTTTTGCCTGCTCACCGCAGGACCGCTTGAAGGTCAGGGAGCCCATTTTTTCTTGTTTTTTGACGCGGGGGGGGGGTATGTATAGGGGCTTGACTGCAAGAATTCGAAGAGCGTGTTGTACTTTAAATTGTTGTATAGCGTCTTATCAGGGTTTGATGAAGTTTCTTCAGGTTTCAAAGGATTTCACGGCTTATATGAGAACACTTGGGGATGTGTTAATGTTGCGGCTCGTTTAGTGGGCACCCCCCCCCCC